CAGTGTGATATTTGGGATGCTGATTGCGTTGCCTATAACTCTTGTCTACTACATTCTCTTTGGGCTATGGTGAAGATTACCAAGCACGAGACAAAAATCATGGGGACATTTTAAAAAAAAAACTTTTTTTCGGGGGATTATGAAATGTGAAAAGAAACAATGCCCTTTTTTTTTTGTTGAATACCCACAAATGAATCAATAGCTTCTAAGAGAATTTGGTAAAAGAAGCTCTTGAAGAAAGGAAGAAGAAGATTAAGAGTAGGAGCTTGACAAGTTTCCCTTTTCTTAGATTTAATCAACATTTTCTGTTTCTTTTGGTAGATGTTAGTATTTTGTAAAAGTGTTGCTACTTTTAGTGAAATTTAAAAGTTTAGAAAATGGAAAACTACTCAAGTTTCAAGTCATTTCTGTGTGCATGTTAGAGTTAATTACAGTGTAAAATGATCTTATCTAACCCCACAAATATACCAATAATTTGGCCATGTCTCAAACTAATCAAATTAACCAAGTTTACATGGCACACCTGTTTTCATTTGCCATGATTTCAAAATGTGATAGAATCAGAAACTAAAGATAAATAAAGTCAGGTTTTCAACTACTAATGTACTAATTTGAGAATATTAGAAACGTTATTATATAGTTTAGGTAAAGATGGTATGAAATATCATGTCATGTGTGGTTATAACAAAAAAAAAAAAAACAGAGGAATTTGGATTCAACAAAACACTCGATTAAATGTGGAAAAATGGATGAAGCACTTGAAGATATTTGGTGTGGACGTATAGAGACATTTGGTGCATGCGTACGTTTATTCGCCTTTGGTCAAGATTCCTCTTCACTGCGTTTGTGGATTCTTACAAGATTCGTTTGAAGGCATTTTGTGTATCCTTTTTTTGATTCTTCTCAGAATCATTACTTACCACTAAGATGCTTGATGCTTTGCAGGGTTTTTCAACTTTTTCTATATGTGAAGAAATTGTGCCTAAGGCAAATAATATTCATATTTATACGACGATTCTATAACATGTTCTAAAGTCTAACTTGGTTTAAATGCATTTATTGAAATGGAGAAAAATTATAGAAAGGTGTAATAATTAGAAGAGGCGAAAATAGTTAAAGAAAGTGACCCCAAATTCTTAGC